CAGAGAGAGACAGGGATAAGGAAAGTGAGAAAGCAAGCTGCCAGGCCTGGGACTCGAACCATGGTCAGCCATGCGTGGAGTTCAGCCGCCTTAACCATCATACCACCTGCTGACCCTGAAGCCAGGACCTTTCTGATGCGGGTCCAATTAAACTGTCACTATCCCTATACCAGACAATTTAAATATTGTACCCACCTGAAGGTTCATATGCTTTCTTTTTTTTTTTTTTTTTAGAGGTTTTTGCTTTAGGGCGCGTGCGTTTGCCAGACAGACAGACAGAAAGCGAGAAATCACCCCCCCAGGGCGAATGGCCTCACCACAGTCCCTTCTCCTCCATTCTCCTCTCGGGATCTTGGGCACGCACACACACATGCTCGGCATGAGTTTTAAGCCACCGGGTCCGGGACGCGAACCGCGGTCGACTACGTGGGAGTCCAGCAACATAGCCATTACGCTAACTGCTGGTTCCCTTAAGCAAAGGTATTTTTGAAAGGAGCAGGTGATCCTTAGTTATTTCTCAAAAAGTGACTTTATTTCTGAGAACCAGCAGTTAGTGAGCGTAATGGCTATGTCACTGGATTCCCACACAGTCGACCACAGTTTGCGTCCCGGACCCGGTGGCTTAGAACTCATGCCAGGTACGTGTGTGTGTGTGCCCAAGATCCCGAGAGGAGAATGGAGGAGAAGGGATTGCGGCGTGGCCATCCCCCCTGGGGGATGATTTCTCGCTTTCTGTCTCTATGTCTCTGTCTGTCTGGCGAGCGCACATGCCCTATAGCGAAAACCTCTCAAAAAAAAAAAAAGTGACTTTATTTCTAAGATGCTTTTTAACAGTCTCCAATTGACTTTATTCAGCAAGTTTTAGCCACCTTCAGAAAGGATTCTCATCTGTGGTTTAGATACTTAAGTTAACCACCTGGTTTATAGACTATTGCCCAAAAGTACTCAAATCCAGCACACCCTTCAAACGAGAAGCTCCTTTTCACCTGTTCAAATAAATCTTCTTGATGATGCCAAGTCATGGTAATCCTTCTAACCTCCAAAATCACATTTGCCTTGAGACCATTCATACAGACATATCAAATTCTGTCTCACAGTAGTTAAAACTGAATACGATCTTTGTCGTGATTAGAACTGAGCACAAACACCTGCTTGAGCCAATTTCTTAATCTAACCCTCATTTTTATCCATCTATAAAATCAAGATAACAGAACCTACTTCACTGAACTTTATAGTATTTGCTATTACTAAGTCATGTAAAGTTCCAGCAAAGTGCCTGACAGACAAGAGGACTCAATAATGTTAGGCATTGTTACTATTATCTGTACATCTCTTTTCTTCCCTGTGAGACTGTGAGCAACCTGAGGACAAGAATCCTACCTTCAATGGTCTGTTCTGCGCCTGTTTTAAATGTATAAAATGAGGCCAGACAATGCCGCCTGCAAGGCTATAAGGCTGCCCCACACCGGAAGGTTGTGGTTTGGTGTCTGGTGACCTCCTGGAGCAAGCTGGGCTCACATGCCATGATCCGGGGCTGGCTTAGCTGCAGTGTATCACAATTTGAGAACTCTGTTAGGGGTGAGGCATTTCTCGCTCACTGTTTGACTTCTTAATGGAGAAGAGAAGTGAATAAACTTTGGGAAAAAGAAAATGCACCCCCAAAAAAAAGCATCATTATACTACCATATGGTGTATCAAAGAGGATAACATCGGGACCAGCATTTGGCGGTGTGGCCATCCATTCTGGGGAGTGATCTCTCACTTTCTGTCTCTTTCCGTCTTTCTGGCGAACGCACGTGCCCTATAGCAAAAACCTCTCAAAACAATTTTTTAAAAAGAGAGTAACGTATCTAAAATACTTAGCACCGACAGAAAACACTCGATACGCACGGACGACTGTTACCTCATACTTCTTTCCTTTATCATGACTAAAGAGCATCTCGCCTGGCGCCACACCGGGTGTGATTTCCAGCCCCTGCTATTACACTTCGTGGTGGGTGCGAGGTGGCCGTGTCGGCTCCCGGTTCCCTCCTTCGTCTCCCCCGCAGTCCTGCTTCTGGGTAGGGCGGAGGGCCCGCAGCGCGGCAGGAGGACAGGGCCACGTCCCCAGGCCGCAGCGCGCTCACCTCCCAGCCGGAGTGGGCCGGCCCCGAGGGACCGTCTCCGCCGACCGCGGACGCCGCCGCTCCCCGCCTCGCCTCCGCTCCTCCTCTGACCCCACACTGCCCCCCTGGGTTCCCCAAGCTGTCCCCTCGGCGGCCCCGGGCTTCGCGCCCTCACGGCCCGGGCCGCCCAATCCCC